CTCTCCGCGTGCTATTGGCCTTCTTAACTCTATCGATTGACTCGCCGCTAAACAAGGATTTAAGCTCGAGGTCAATCGATACTTCCGCTCTCAGTTCTAGGTGTTGCAACACCTGGGGGCTGAAACCCGCCACCTGTTCATTAGAAGTCCGACGACCCAAACATTAACCCCTGGGCCCTTTTTCCTGTCAATTGCGATCGGGTTCGTTAACAGGGCACTGATCGATCGTGTTACTGGACACGTTGTCGTTGGAGGTTCACACTAGAGCCCCGGCAGCGGTCGCTCGGCGGTACAGTAGCTATAAGGAAACAAACGAAAAAATTCTACCTTCAATCATTTTCCTTGACTGGTCAGTCGCTTCCTGCCTAGCCCAGAAAGTCGGAGGCTCAAGCACACATAACCAAGGTCACTACTGCTGATATTGCAGGCGTCTGACCTCGTCGCAGGTTATTTGACCTTGAACTCGACGGATCGTCGCGTATTCAACCTGCCTAAAAAACTGGCATTTCAGGTCATCTTCAGGTAAGAAAAATAACATATGGATTGGCAGTAAACTTCAGCAGTATGTCTATGATTCAAAACTGGTGTCCGGTGATCAATCCTGATTGGAGGGTGGAATACGAGACAATTTCGTTTTGCCGTATGACGAAAACTTTAAATTTGAGATGTTGCACCTCTGAGGGTAGCTAATTTGCCATCTTACCTCGGTCTCGAAGTAACTTCAGGAGGAAACCGAACCAACATGCTCAGCAACTAACAAGTGTATTTGTTACTACTCATGGTATCAATATTTCGAATTCTGTTCTTTGTACTTGTCTGACAACTCATTAGATCTTATGGCTTTACCTCTGAGCACAAAGCCCACCCAGACACCACCATTCCTAGGACATTTTTATTTTTCCCGTTGTTGTCAATTAATGTCCATGATTTTTGGGCAAGTCAGAGTGACTCTGTACTAAATCGAATGAGTAAGCTTTGCTGGTGGACCACAATAATTTCTGCTACGTTTCCTGCATCGTGATCTACATAGGCTGTTTCTTTCTTTGTTCCCCACAGGCGGTCCACCTTGTCACCAGGCGAACAGCAGCGTCTGGCGCTGGCGCGACTTTGCTACCAACATCCCCGTCTAGTTGTTCTTGACGAGGCTACAAGCCAACTCAGTGAAATGGATGAGACATCGGCCTATCAGAGCATTGCCAGCCGCAATATCACAATGATCTCCGTGGGTCATCGGGGATCCCTGCGTCGTTTCCACCAGCACGAACTGGCGCTTCGGGGTCAGTTGGGTGAGTGGAGCCTGACTCGGATAGATGAACCCGAGTAAACCCGTCCCCCGCATAGCCCGGTTTGACGACGTCTTCATTGCCTACAGCAAAGATAACTCTCTTATTTGGTTTTAAAAACACACTATATGAAGCGCCATCCTTTCGTTGTTTTACATTTTTTCAGTCGTCTTTGAACCTTTCTTTCGCGTCCCAGTTTGTAGGACAGACTGTCTGTGATATCATTACTTCCATTCGAAGTTTTGTATGGACATTTTTGTTAAATAAAGTATCCCTTGTTTTGCTGTCCTTTTGCCTACAAGATGGGGGCTCCACACAGATTATGTTGTAATGAGAAGGACAATTCCAGTAGTCGTCAACTATTCGTCTCGCCCTCACAGTTTTTGTTCGCTCCGCCTGACTGCATGCTACCTCTGACAACGAGCGTTGTTACATATATATGGGAGGGGGAAAAGTGTAAAAGGTAAAACTGCAGGTAAAATATGTTCAACGTTACAGGCGAATAATTCCAGGGGATAGGGAGGGGGTTGGGGTAGTAACAAGCGGCTAATTTAACGGTAATTTGGGGGAGGGGGAAGGCAGAGAGGAGGCTCGGAAAATGGTCGGTAGCTAGGTGGCCGTTGGCCATGCTAAGCTTGGAGCTTGCAGCAGGTTCTTTTGCGCGCACAAAATCGGTTTCCTCAACCGGATAGCAGTTGCTTCTGCTGTTGCTAGCACGCGCTGACCCAGTGACTTAAGTTAGTTTGGTGGGACCTTGGAGATCACCCCGAAGGCTTCTTTGGGGTCCAGCCGATATCCGGAATCCACCATGTGCGCTAGAAGAGAACTGTTGATGGTCCTGGTGGTATTGACTTCACCTTTCTTCAGCCATTGCGGGAGGTGTTCCTTATTCTTTTGGATAGGCGCCGGCTCGTGCGACCAATATAACCTGCCTCCCAGGAGCAAGTAAAGAATTACGTGCACATGGAGGTAGTCTGAGTCAGTAAACTGTCCTTGCGTTCCCCATGTATGACAGGGTTGGTTGAGAATAATACCCGAACTCTCGCTGCTGGAAGGTTCGTGATACGGCCTCGTCTTTTCAGGAGTTTACCTGCGGCGTCTCCTCTCCTGATTAGAATTTATTGAAAGTATACTTATGCTCGCCAATTGCTCTTTAGATTTCTGTGAGGGGAATTTTTGCAACCCCAAAACGCGCGTTGTGTCAGAGGTCGCAAACCACAGTTCTAATATGCGTGAAAATTCCAGTTCCAGATATCTTATCATTTTCACCATCCCTCAAAGAAGATGAAGAATAAGAAGGTACAAGGACATCGACCGAGTTATAAGGAGACTGACGTTTCGGACACTCGCTCGGTTCCCTCGACAGAATAATCAGGTGATTGTTGCTGTCTGCCCGCGGGGTAGTGGTCAGAGTGTTGAACTTCTACCTAGCAAGGTTCGAAGGTGATGCACCACCTATGATTGAGTATGTCCGGAAATGGTCTTTCCAGTTTTCCTTTTCTTTATTGGCAATGGTCTTCCGTCATGCAAACGGTCAAACGCCATAATTACCGCTTAAGAGATAAAAGTCACGACTGTGAAATTGTGCCATTCATTTTTTGGAAGATTCATATGAAGCCGT